GAGTGAATACAGCATCCAGGACACAACAGGGACCGTAAAAACCCAACTTGACCGTACTGGACCATGCGGTCGGTCTCTGTGTGTAGTTAAAGCAGAGGATCAGGACAATACTAGTCAGCTGTAGAAGGCACCGGAACATCGGCTGGTAGAGAAACAGACAGATCCTAGTGGCTTAACTCCAACATCAGAGACCAACCATGGAATATTGAGCTGCCAAGCCTGAAGTCTATAGACCCTTTAGACCGCAACTATACCACATCTAGACCCCTTAGACCAAACCTAGACTACCACTAGACCATACTCAAGACACCCAGACCCTAGACCCGGTTAGAGAGATCCAGGCCTCCTGTGAAAGGTGTCGTTTGGTTATGAGATCCAGTTCAGGCTCAGTCTCTGCTCTCTCTAAGTGGCCTAGAACTGACACACACACTGACAAGGACAGGTGTATATTTGGTAATGCCCTCTGAGCACGTGGTCTGAGTACGTGGTTGGGTAATGTCCTCTTGAGCACACACATACACACACATATACACTTCTGCACTAGGCACCCATTGGCTGAGGGGAGTATAGCTGCTAGCCAATGGGGGTTCTTGGTCTTGGCTGAAGTGCAACAAGAGTCATTATCGTAGGCTGGCACAGGCCCTGGGATCTTAACCTTGCTATTATTGTTTGATGAAAATTCTTATTGATGGAGAGACTGACTAAAGGGGTATTGCTGGTTCTAATGTCTAATGTTGTCTAAGATAGGTCTGTGTTCTAGGATGGGCTTAGGTTGGTCTGAGGGGATATGCCAACATATGTAGCTGAGCCCAGTTTGTATCCATGCAGGCAGAACACAACAGAACACACTATTTACAACAGATAAACACTTCACTACTGGAGCTTGACTTCTGATTAAGGCAGCACTGCAGGGAGCTGCAGTCACTAAAGTTGACATGAAATGATAGTCACTTTCTGCACAACGCTTTACAAATTATTACTGATATTATTCACACTTCTGGATACACGACTGCATGTTTTATTGGGTAAATAAGACACTTATTTGTCTATGTGGAAGGGTGGACTCCTTAGACAGCCCAGGCCAGACCTGATGCATAGCAAACAACTACGTAAGACAGCATGGTTCCCACCACAACTCCCCTGGCACAGCCTGCACGCCCACAGCCCGGGGCCTGGTTCCATTTATATTCAAGTCCCCTTTCCCTGGCTTCTACCGCCTCTGCTGCCCACAGCTCACAGATATGAACGGACTGGATGGTGATGGATCCACCTTTCTCTCTAATAGAGTGCTTAACAGAGCCCTTTTATCTATTCAATCCAAAGAGCCAGGGGTGAGCACAAGGGGTGTGGAACCTGAAATGGAATCAGGCCTGTTGTACGTATGGCTGCAAAGGGACACAGGTAGTGCCTGTGTTGTGGTGGCTAAGACACACGTGTCGAAAATGCACAATCATTAGTACGTGGTTTCAATCTCAGTGACTTCTCTGCCATTTTTAATTCCCACAGAATGAGATGTGATGGTTTAAGAAGCAAACATAAGGCACGTGCAGAACTGCTGGAGCTGACAATATCCTCACAGAGAAAGGAGAGGCTTCCCAAGTTTAGATTAAACATAGGTCCCAATGAAATACGTACCTACTGCTATTTTATGAAATACTGAAAACATGATAGCTAGCTAGCGTTTGATGTCCTGTGTGTTTAGCTGCAGAATGAGAACACTGACAACCCCACACCTGTCTGACAAGTCTGTGAAACACATATAACTCTGAGACTTTGGTTTCCCTATTCCAATACTTAATTGTTGTTTTTCTACCACTACTCAGATAGAACCATCAGAGTACCACACACTCACTGATCATTAGTCCTCCTCCAGCTTCACTGTCCAATCAAATCTCAGGCTTGGGCTTACGTTTGACGCCATTGGCTGAGCGTCCTGCATATTAAAATTGATTAAATGAATGCACATGTTTCTGAATGGATATCCATAATTGAAGTCAAGGCCAAATCGTAAGGCTAGAACAAGCATGTAAGTGCTGACTTTGATTAAATGTAAGTGTATGTTTATATAGTGAATTAAAACCAACTTTAAAGGTCGCCTTTGGGCACCAAAAACGGTCCAACCCCGCCTCTTTCTCAATTTTCAAAATAGGGTGTGCCTTTGGTGGTTCATCGATGTATCATTCTGGTCTTACGCTGCGACCGACATAGCTAGTTTGTTAGCTAAGCTAGCCACTGTAGCTAGCCAGTAACTCCTCCATGTGTAGATATCATTTCACAGGATTTGTTTTTGGAAGGAAGCTGTACAGTCGTGGTCAAAAGTTTTGAGAATGACACAAGTATTGGTCTTCACAAAGTTTGCTGCTTCAGTGTTTTTAGATATTTTTGTCAGATGTTACTATGGTATACTGAAGTATAATTACAAGCATTCCATAAGTGTCAAAGGCTTTTATTGACAATTTCATTAAGTTTATGCAAGGGTCAATATTTGCAGTGTTGACCCTTCTTTTTCAAGAACTCTGCAATCCGCCCTGGCATGCTGTCAATTAACTTCTGGGCCACATCCTGACTGGCAGCCCATTCTTGCATAATCAATGCTTGGAGAATTTGTGGGGTTTTGTTTGTCCACCCGCCTCTTGAGGATTGACCACAAGTTCTCAATGCGATTAAGGTCTGGGGAGTTTCCTGGCCATGGACCCACATTTTCGATGTTTTGTTCCCCGAGCCACTTAGTTATCACTTTTGCCTTATGGCAAGGTGCTCCATCATGCTGGAAAAAGCATTGTTCGTCACCAAACTGTTCTTGGATGGTTGGGAGAAGTTGCTCTCGGAGGATGTGTTGGTACCATTCTTTATTAATGGCTGTGTTCTTAGGCAAAATTGTGAGTGAGCCCACTCCCTTGGCTGAGAAGCAACCCCACACATGAATGGTCTCAGGATGCTTAACTGTTGGCATGACACAGGACTGATGGTAGCGCTCACCTTGTCTTCTCCGGACAAGCTTTTTTCCGGATGCCCCAAACAATCTGAAAGGGGATTCATCAGAGAAAATGACTTTACCCCAGTCCTCAGCAGTCCAATCCCTGTACCTTTTGCAGAATATCAGTCCCTGATGTTTTTCCTGGAGAGAAGTAGCTTCCTCGCTGCCCTTCTTGACACCACGCCATCCTCCAAAAGTCTTCGCCTCACTGTGCGTGCAGATGCACTCACACCTGCCTGCTGCCATTCCTGAGCAAGCTCTGCACTGGTGGTGCCCCGATCCCGCAGCTGAATCAACTTTAGGAGACGGTCCTGGCGCTTGCTGGACTTTCTTGGGCGCCCTGAAGCCTTCTTCACAACAATTGAACCTCTCTCCTTGAAGTTCTTGATGATCCGATAAATGGTTGATTTAGGTGCAATCTTACTAGCAGCAATATCCTTGCCTGTGAAGCCCTTTTTGTGCAAAGCAATGATGACGGCACGTGTTTCCTTGCAGGTAACCATGGTTAACAGAGGAAGAACAATGATTTCAAGCACCACCCTCCTTTTAAAGCTTCCAGTCTGTTATTCTAACTCAATCAGCATTACAGAGTGATCTCCAGCCTTGTCCTCGTCAACACTCTCACCTGTGTTAACGAGAGAATCACTGACATGATGTCAGCTGGTCCTATTGTGGCAGAGCTGAAATGCAGTGGAAATGTTTTTTGGGGATTAAGTTCATTTTCATGGCAAAGAGGGACTTTGCAATTAATTGCAATTCATCTGATCACTCTTCATAACATTCTGGAGTATATGCAAATTGCCATCATAAAAACTGAGGCAGCAGACTTTGTGAAAATTAATACTTGTGTCGTTCTCAAAACTTTTGACCACGACTGTAGAGATCGGTAGGAAATTGCACTTCTTTAGCCAAATATCGTATTTATCTAAAAAAAAAAAAAAAAGACCTGGTATAATGGAGCATTGATCAGTTATACAGTTAAAAGTTGTTCTTTTTGTGTTTTTGCCCAAAGTTGACCTTTAAGGTTTCACCAAACACCCCTGATATTCATATGTATGTGATGACCTCATATACACAGAATAAATGAATGAATAGATGTGGTTCCTTCAGTCTGAAAACAAACATGTCTTGAGTCACATCCAGGTCTATTTTTGGTTATAAAACAACAATCCCAACGTTTATGGACTATGGTACAACATTTCAATTTGATATGAGCCAGTACATGTAAATGGACTGTATTAAACGCGGGGTAAAAGGCGGTGTGAAAGTGGAGTATGTTCCTATGTACAGTTAGATCATAGCTGTAAAGACCAGGGAGACTCAGTCCAACATATTGCCTTTATAGTATCTCTGCGGCGGGGGGTTGATATAATAAATAATAAATAATAATATGATAAGGGTGGGGTCTGGCTAATGGGGGAGGATAAGGGTGGGGGTTTGAGGGGTAAGGGATAAGAGGTGAGAGGGGTAAGGTGGGTGATCTTTGACTAGTTTCCTTAGAGAAGGCAAAACTAAGCAGAGCTGCACAATATCATATTAACCAATCAACACCCCCCGTCTGCTGGTAAAGGTGTGGCTAATGCCACATTCAGATAAAGACTATCATAAAGTACCATAGTATTTCATACCGTATAGTACCATAGTATCATACAGTACCTTATCAAAGAGTGCCATATAGTATCAGATATTGTACCATAAAGTACCATACAGTATCATATTATAGTACCGTACGGATCATTGTATCACATACATGTATGGTAAGAGTCATTGTCAGTCCTCAGAGGCACACTCGTTCAGAGTGCAACAGTGCTCCCCTTCTAATGTTACTCCATAGAGACCTACTGCAGTCACACTCCTTACATCCAATCATAGAAAAGAAACAGACAGGCCAATAGGTCAAAGTGCACAGAGGTCCCAGCATTGACGTCTGTTTTGGCTGCTAAGGCCAGTGTTAGCTCCTCTCACCAGCTCTCTGATAGGCCAGAGCTCATCTGTATCTGCAACTGTTCTGCTGTCTGATTAGCTAGTGGAAGGCCATATCCCCTCCCTCCTCCTTCCTGGGTCTACCCCTGCGTTTCCCTCCTCTGGTCGGAGGGGACACCAGAGAGCGTGCTCGGTGCACTACCAACTCAATAGCCGCCGAGATCGAGTCGTGATTGGAAAACTCCAGAGGCTGGGGGGCGGGACTTGGTCTTAAGCTCCGCCTTCCCGGTAGGTCCACACACCTCTCCAGCACCGGCATCCCGAAGCCCCTCCCTATGTCGCTCCCGTAATTGTTGGGTTCAGATTCATCAATGGGGTGTTTCCGGGGGCGACCAGGTCGCCTTTTGACAACGTTGTTGCCGGTCTTGGCCTGGCGCTGGAGACGCTTCACACGCAGGATCTTCTGTACGTGCTCAAAGCTCCTCTGATTGTTGAGCACATTGTTGAGAGAACACATCCTCCTGACCTCACCGTGGATCTGTTCCACCTCATGACGCTTATACCTCCTCTTACCTGGAACACCTGAAAGAGAGAGAGAGAGAGAGAGAGACATAGAGAGAGACAGAGACAAACAGAGAGACAGAGACATAGAGAGAGAGACATAGTCAGAGAGACAGAGAGAGCAAGACAGACAGAGAGAGAGCGAGAGACAGATAAAGAGAGACAGAGAGAGAGACATAGACAGAGAGAGACAGAATGAAAGAGAGGGCGACACAGCCAGACAGACAGACAGAGAGGGGAGAGAGAGGAGAGAGAGAGGAGAGAGTTAGTTGTGTGATCACATTTTGACAATGTAAGATGGGGAAGAGGGAAAGGGGGGGGGGGGGTGATTTTACAAGACATATATCAAGCTGTTTAACAGAGAAAGAAACAAAAGATAAATCAGGGTGTTCACAAGACTATGTCACCAAGAAAGAATTGGCCTGAATACAACAAAAAAATGCCCACATTGCTGCTCATTGAAATATTTAGTTTTTTGTTTAAGCTCCTTCCTGCTAATTTCCGCCATATTCAGGCCTGCCATGCAGCTGAGACAGAAGTAGAGATTCAATCCTGTGCTAAAGAGAGGAGAGAGAGATGGATAGAGAGAGAGAGAGAAAGAGAAAGATGAATAGCGAGAGAGAGAGAGGAGCTTCCATTCTGCTAGCAGGAAACCCACAGAAATGTGTCCAACCATTAAATGTGTCGCTATACAACAGTGCTGGAGCACCGGCTGGCAAACAGGCCAGACACGCACACGCACCACAGATAATTACACAAATGCACAAACACGCATGCACACACAAATTCAGCATAAGATTAGCTGAGCAGAGGAAACTGGAGCCATATTGTTTCCTTCATGCTGATGAACTGGGCACTCTGCCCTTCATACACACAGCTCTATCTCTCTCCACCCCCCCCCCCCCCCCCTTCCCCTCCCCTCTCTTGCTCTTGCTGTCTGGGAAGGACCTCTGACCTTCTCATTCAATGGGTTTTGAGAAGGAGACGAGGATAGAGGATGCGAGGAGTATGCAATTCAGATCTTCTCTCTCTCCACCTCCTCCCTCTTCCCTTCTCTCACAGCCCCACCCCCTCCTCTCTGGGCAGTGTTCCCAGATTGAACCAAAGCCAAAATGGAGGAAAAGCACAATCAGACACAATAGTCCCCAAAACAGCCGCCTTTAAACGCACCTGCTCTCTACCGCTCTCTACCGCTCTCTATCCTCCCTTGTCTCTCCCTCCTTCTCCTCTCCTATTCAGTGTGGTTTCTCAGTATTTCAGGGTTTTCCTCAACATTGTTCTAAGCTATGACAATGTAACAGTACTAACTAACCACTAAGGCTAACAAAGTGATAAATAGACCAAAATAAATTTGAATGACACACAAATGAATTCATATTGAATCCATCATCGGTCTTCCTAGCTATCAAATGCTTGCTGATGATTTCAAAACACATAAAACGTTTAGTCCAGACTCTAGTATTGTAAACTTGACCAATGGTATTGAGATAAGACCTGCATCATATTATGATCATGATAAAATAAAGCCTCTTGTCCATAGTTTCTCTTCTACTGAGACAATACACTAGCACTGAGTAGCAGCAATTTGTGAGGCGCAGAACCACACAGACACACACGCAGGGACATAAACACGGACACACACGGGGACAGGAATTTATGAGCTGCATACACTGAGTGTACAAAACATTAGGAACACATTCCTAATTTTGAGTTGCACCCCCTTTTGCCTTGAGAACACCATCAATTTGTCAGGGCATGGACTACAAGGTGTCGAAAGCATTCCACAGGGATGCTGGCCCATGTTGACTCCAATGCTTCCCACAGTTGTGTCAAGTTGGCTGGATGACCTTTGGGTGGTGGACCATTCTTGAAACACACAGGAAACTGTTGAGCGTGAAAAACCCAGCAGCATTGCAGTTCTTGACACACTCAAAGTGGTGCGCCTGGCAACTACTACCATACCACGTTCTAAGGCACTTAAATATTTTGTCTTGCCCATTCACCCTCTGAATGGCACACATACACAATCCATGTCTCAATTGTCTCAACACTTAAAAATCCTTCTTTAACCTGTCTCCTCCCCTTCATCTACACTGATTGAAGTGGATTTAACAAGCGACATCAAATAAGGGATCATAGCTTTCACCTGGATTCACCTGTCATGTTTTGTACACTCAGTGTATACGCATTATAAAACTGATGACCTTTAGCAGTACTTGAGTGTCTATAGCTCTGTCTCAGTCCAGAGGAGAATAAAGTTACTGGTCTGTGGTCAGTTCTGTGTCCTGTTTAACTGTTTAAGATTTCGCTTTCAGCGAACTGCAGGAGGAAGGATTATATTGTGTGTGTGTGTGTGTGTGTGCACGCACACACAGAGAAAATCACTTTCATTAACTCTGCAAAAAGGATGACCTGCTTTTATGCAAATAATTGTGAGAGATTGCTGTCAGGTGCAGTTGAACCTGCTGATTAGTGGGAGCAGACACACACACACACACAGTTCAAATCAGGCTCAGATAAACACCCAATCACAGGGAGGAAATGATTTAGAAACATTCAATCACACAAGAGTGGAGAATAATATAAATTTCAGATCAGAGTGTGTGTGTGTGTGTGTGTGTGTGTGTGTGTGTGTTTTAATTGGGCTGGGGCTGGTCTGTGGAGCGTAGCAGTAAGTCATGCTGGTGGAGGGAGGAGAGAGGGAGACAGGGAAGAGCGAGGAGAGGGAGGAGAGAGAGGGAGACGGGGGAGATGGGGGAAATAGGGGGAACATTGAGAGGAGAGAGTGAAGTGAGGGAATAGAGAGGAAGAGGGGGTATACCCTGTCTAGAGCAGTCGAAGAGATGGAGGAAGGGAGAGGGAGAAAAAGGGGTAGAGAGAGGGGGGTAGTGTGTGCGTGAGTCATCCCCCGTGGGACCCCTGGGGAGGGGGATGTAATCTAAGTGAGCCCCTGGCTTCTCTCCCCCTCCGCTGGACTAGGCCCCACTCATTAAAGCCCTGGCTGGTAGCCAGCTCCGTTAACACAGCCACAGCCTTTTACTGCCTGTCTGGAGAATATAAATCACAACCTGGGAATCATATATCTCTGGGACCAACCATTGGCAGGCTGAGAGGGAGGGAGGGAGAGATTGGTGAATTATAGTCCTCTTCAGCCATGCGTTTCGTTCTCTCTCTCTCTGGCCAGATGTGCTCGCTGCACTCAGAATACAGAATGTACCAAAAACACATTTGTTCAGTATTTGGTGCTTTAGGAGCTGACTGCCTCTTTGTCTGCTATAGGCTAACACATGTTCATCCGTCTGCTTCGAAAACTGGGAAGACATCTTAAACACTATCCACATCATATATATATATATATATATATATATATATATATATATATATATATATATATATATATACACATTTTATGTAAAAAAAGAATAATAAGCAATTACTGATGTTTTTTTCCACTATCGGGACTGGAATTAATGCATGCACTGCCTCGGTACAAAAACATATTTTGAGCTAAATCTGAACAATCAGATATCTGGAGAGAGTGGGGCTGTATTATAACATGGTAATAAGCCTGTTACTGTCAGTAACACGTTGTTACCTGTTAGAGTGGGGCTGTATTATAACATGGTAATAAGCCTGTTACTGTCAGTAACACGTTGTTACCTGTTAGAGTGGGGCTGTATTATAACATGGTAATAAGCCTGTTACTGTCAGTAACACGTTGTTACCTGTTAGAGTGGGGCTGTATTATAACATGGTAATAAGCCTAATAGAGTAGTAATACGTTGTTACCTGTTTGAGTGGGACTGGCATTGTGGAAGGACTCTTCTCTTGCATGGATCTTCTCTTTCCTGGCATTGTGGAACGACATCACCCCTTCCTCTCCGAACACTGCTAAGCCCCTCCTTCTGCCACGCCCACTGCCCTCCTCCTTCTCCTCCCGCAATCTGAAAAGGTCCGAGGTCAGCTCTGGACGCAGTGATTGGCTACTGTAACTGCTCACGAAGCTGTTCACTGGCTCTCCGGGCGTGCGTTGGCGGAACTGGACATGGTCCATAGAGAGAGAAGAGGGAGGGTTCGACTCAAACATCGCTCCCCTGGATCCTCCTCTAGAGCCTCTCCCACCCCCCCTCTGCTTCTCCTGACGCTTCTGGTTGGTCATCTCCCACCTGTCAGTCAACAGGTTGAGCAGCCCATTGGTCTTGGCACCGCTGAAGAGCCCGCCCAGCTCCTGTCTGTCATGGGGTGAGAGGAGGTTGGTCTCTTCCTTATGTTTGTGTTTGTGCTTGTGTTTCCTCTTGTGGAGCCGTACCCCTCCAAGACCTCCACCACCCAGGGATCCCAGTCCTTCTCCCCGACCAGAGGAGCCCTGCAGTGGGCCGCTAGACGCCTGGAGTTTGGAGTGGCCCCCAGAGTGGAACTTAGGAGGGGGGACGGCAGGCCTCATGAAGGGGGAGGGTGGTGAAGGGCTGTGGGGATGGTGGGGAAGGTAGACAGGGGGGTGATGGTGGGTAGTAGCCCAGGCTCAGAGGCGGGGCATAAGGCATGGTATATGGTGCATAGTAGTTTCCCCCCGCCAGCGGATATCCAAACCCCTGGACAAAAGGCAGCTTGGACGTGATTGGCTCGCTGGCTTTGGCGGGCCGGCCGCGCCTCCTCTTTGCCTTGAGCTCGGCAGTCCTGCGAAGGTACGGGGCGGGGTCACAGGGGTAGGGGTCATAGGTCAGGGGGTAGTAGAGATGGTGGAAGTTGAGGCGGAAGATGGAGGGGTAGGGGTGCTGGGGGAAGCAGGAGGCGTAGCGTCGGTGAGACACATGTAGCTGTTGCAGCTTCACCACCACCTGGCAGAGGAGAGGAGGAGAGATCAGTACTGGATAATATATACAGTCCAGAAGAGGCTGGTGGGCAAAAATATATGAAGGTGGGCTCATTGTAATGGCTGGACTGAAATGAATGGAAAGGTATCAAACACATCAAACACATGGGGTTTCCATGTGATTGATATCGTTCCATTTATTCTATTCCAGCCATCACAATGAACCTGTCCTCTGATATCTCTGTGACATCATATACAATAAGTCTAGTGGCAACTTCATTCTACTCCTACATTAAGTTTGATGTAATTTTAATAGGAAGTTTAATTTGATACCTCTTCTAGCTCAGACAGGAAGTGCAGGTGGTCACGGCTCTGCAGGCACTTCCTCTTCCTGCGGTGTTTCTGCTTCTTCTCCTGCTGGGACAGAAAGCTGTCCACCACTGCCGGCTGCTCACAGCGACCCCTACTGCCGCGACTGGACGCCTCCAGAACGGCAGCCTCCGCAGCCTCAAACCCACACAGGTCAAACGAGTATCTGCAACACAAAACCAAAACCTGTCAACTGGATGTACAATGTTGCTATTGTGGTTTCAAACAAACCCCTGGCAATATTCACTCACTCACTTCCCTCCCTCCCTCAACTAGCATACTAACTATCTCACTCACTCAGTCAGTCACTTCTAGCTAACTAACTAACCATGTAAACTAACAGAGAGATAGATACCTGCGTCGTGCGTTGGTCCCCTTCTCTGTCTGGTCAGAGGTGCTGTTGTTGTCCGTTCCTATGCCGCTGTCGCTGGGAATAGTCTCCTCGCTGTGTGATTCGCTGATGGGTGACAGCGTCACCTCCTTGACGGACGCCGCCCCCTCAGATAGGTGGGACGGGGAGTTGGCCAGGAGGCGCGGGGGAGACAGCTTCCAGCCGGCCCCCAGTAGCCCCCTGCCTGGGGGTTTAGAGGGCAGGGCACTGATGGGCTGCAGGCTGGGCATGGTGGCGTCAGAGTGGGGGCCGTGAGGGCCAGGGTGGCACATAGAGGACAGGGTGTGGGGTCTGAGGAGGAGGGTAGTGGAGCTGAGAGTGGGGGTGGAAGGCACTAAGAGGCTGTTGTACAGGCTGGACATGGAGGCAGGCACAGAGGGCTTGGCCCCCCCACCTCTTGGGGGAAGGGTTTGGGTGTCAGAGCGCGGCTTCCTCCCCCTCTTCTTCCCAATGTAGATGGTTCCTCTTTTACTGACGTTGATCTGCTTCCCCAGACGAGCCTCAATGGTAGAGGCCATGACCGTCATGGCAGAAGAGACGGGAGCCGAGGCGGACTTCAGCGCCAGGCTGCCATGTTGGCTGGAGCATGATAGTATCTCATTCAGGATGCTCTGCACCTTCCCCAGCTTCAGCCTCTTCACCGGCCTGACATGGGCTCCCTCACCGCGCTTCAGTTTCAACCCATTAGCATTGGGGCTAGTGGAACCAGATGCGATTTGGGAAATCGCGGTCTTTCTCCTGCGGCTGAGCCCCGCGGAGCTGTCCCGGGCTAAAGGGCTCAGGGGGGAGGTGGAGGTGCCCTCATGGATGGTTTCCACAGTGAGCAGGGGTTGTTTTTTGGGACGACCTCGTTTGCGCTTGGTGGGGGTGTGGACAGTCAGACTGTCTGTGTTGGTGTACAGGGGGCTGGAGGGGGTGATGGGGAAGGCAGAGGGGGGCTCACACATAACTGACAGGGGGCTGCGGCCACTCTCCCTCTGGACTAGGTTGGGGGGGCTTCGGGACTTCAGGTAGGACCACCGGTCCTTGGTCTTGGGGGGTCTGGGGCTGGGGATAGGGCTGGGTTTTAGGCTGGTTTTGGGGTTAGGGTTAAAGCTGGGGCTTAGGTTGGGCGGTCTAGGGTTAGGAGTGAGGCTGGATCTTGAACTAGGGATATGGTTGGGGTTAGGGCTAGGCAGTCTGGGGCTAGGGTTAGGGTCAGGGTGTTTGTGGGGGTCTGTGGCTGATCTAGGATGACAAACTGGGTTCTTCCTCACCCGGCTCTGGATCATGGCTGATTCCATGTCGGCCCCACTCATCACCCACTCTCCTCTCTCCGCTCTCTCTCCCATCTCTGTCCTCTCTCCTTTCTCTGCCCTGTCTCCTCTTTCTCCCTTATCTGCTCTTTCTCCTTTCTCCCCTCTCTCTCCTCTATCCCCGTCTGCCTCAGGCTGGCTACCCTCCTCACCCCGTCCTGACCGAGACTCACTCCTGTGGGAGTCCATCTTGTGGGACTCTCTTTTATGAGACTCCATCTTGTTGCCTTCCATCTTGTGGGCCACTTTGGGCTCTGGAGGCCCTGATTCGCTCCTCTCTGTGATGTCAGTGCCCTGCAGCTGCTCTGATTGGTCCTCCTGGGTGAGTGACTCCTGGAGACACCGCCTCCTCCTCCTTTTCCTCCCTGTTCCCTCCTCCATCAGCTCAGGAGCACCAAGCGTTGGCATCTCCCTCTCCTCCTCCTCTCCTGTCCTCCCTATGCTCTCCCTCTCATCTCTCTCCAGCTCAGGGGTCTCCTCCTGCCTTTCACCCAGAACTATCAGACTCTCTGCATCTTTCTCTGCCATCCTCCCCCATGGCAACTCAGCATTCTGGGTATTACCCAGAGTCCTCTGGGGGTCCTTCCTGCCGTACTTCCTCTTGATGTTTCCAAACAGCTTCTCACTGACCTCCTGTAAGCCCCGTCCTCTGGAGAGAGAGGTCAGGTTCAGAATGCTGGCGTCAGTTACTACGGGCAACACAGGATCAGGGCTCAGGGGTCGGTGGGGAGAGGGGCTGAAAGAGCGAGGGGAGGGGCTTCCTGGGACTCTCTTCATTGGAGGTTTTAGGAAGGAAGGGGCCAGATCAGAGAGAGGGCTCCTATTGGCTCCCGCTGGTTCTCTGCTGGGCTCAGCATGCACTGGATTGGCTGGGGATGCAGAGGGAGGCGAGGCCCAGGCTGGACTGTGTGTATGTTGGTGTGTGAGTTGTAGTGGCTGTGTGTGTTGCTGTTGGGGTTGGTGTGTGAGTGTGTGTGGGGGCAATGGTGTGGTGTGTAGGATAGAGGGCTTGGACTGGTGTTTCGGGGGGGTGACATCCCCAAGCAGTTGCAGTAGCCCCCCCTCTCTAGGTTCTGCTGCTCTGAAGGGTCTCTCATAGGTCTGAAGACAGAAACACAGAGAAGAGAGAGATCAGTACAGCTGCTCTTTATGGAGAAACATCAACATATGTGACAACAGCTTATATCCAAGTCTGTCTGCTGGTGTTTAAGCATTTTGAATGGATAACAAAACAATGTTGAACAAAAGCTGTTTACAGAGCAATTCAATTCCTGTGGTAAAGATGTTCCATACTGAGAGAGAAAGAGAGAGAGAGAGAGAGAGAGAGAGAGAGAGAGAGAGAGAGAGAGAGAGAGCACCAGTAGAAGACAAGGGGAAAAGAGTGGGGAAGCACAGAAGAGCTTCTATCATGATGTCAGGATGCTCAACCAGTCAGCGGAGGACGTCTGGATAACTGAATCACACAACCCCTGTTCTTAGTTTAAACATCAATACAGTACACGCACTAGTCTAAACACTGTGGTGTGTACCATTATACATACAGTAACAAAATGTTAACGGGCTGAAATGTAAAGAAGCGGATGTGTGTGTGTGGTTTTGTCTGTTATTAGCAGGCTCAGCCTATAATGCAAGAACCTGCCTGATGTAATGAGCTACAGAGATGCAGTTAACCACATCTTTGCATCTTTGCACCAACAAGACCAGAGCCTATGAGAGCCATTTTACAGGATGCACCTCTGCTCAGTGGTTGCAGGGAACAAAGCATAACAGCCATACACAGTCACATCTCCTTTACCACTCTGCTACACAGTCACATCATCCTTTATCCATCCTGCTACACAGTCACATCTCCTCTACCACTCTGCTACACAGTCACATCTCCTCTACCACTCTGCTACACAGTCACATCTCCTCTACCACTCTGCTACACAGTCACATCTCCTCTACCACTCTGCTACACAGTCACATCTCCTTTACCACTTTGCTACACAGTCACATCTCTTCTACCACTCTGCTACACAGTCACATCTCCTCTACCACTCTGCTACACAGTCACATCTATTCCTTGCTAACCCACCCTCTGCTACACCAGTCACATCTCCTCTACCACTCCGCTACACAGTCACATCTCCTACCTACCACTCTGCTACACAGTCACATCTCCTCTACCACTCTGCTACACAGTCACATCTCCTCTACCACTCTGCTACACAGTCACATCTCCTCTACCAGAGAGAGGGACAGAGGGGAGCGAGAGGGACAGGGAGGAGGAGGGGGAGAGAGGGACGGGGGAAGAGGGAAAGAATGAGCGGTGGTGAAAAGGGAGAGGGGATTAGGGAGAGACAGAGAGGGACAGGGGGAAAAGGGGGAGAGCGAGAGATGGCGGAGGAAGGTGAGAGAGGGACGGGGAGGAGGGAGAGAGAGGGAGATGGGGAAGAGGGAAAGAGGGACAGGGGGAGGAGGGTGAGAGAGGGAGATGGGGAAGAGGGAAAGAGGGACAGGGGGAGGAGGGATGGGGAAGGGGGAGAGAGAGAGAGGGACAGGGGGAAGGAGGGAGAGACACGGGGGAGGAGGGTGAGAGAGGGACAGGGGGGAGGAGGGAGAGAGACGCGCTCACACACACACACACACACACACACACACAGAGAGATAGACATACATGCCAGTGTTTTCCACTAGCGCCGGCTATACAGCCGATTACAGAGTCATTTTCAGCCGGGTACTTTTCCCACCTAAATCAACTAGGCTACTTTTCAATTTGCTAGTCAGAAAAAAGTCTGCCGAGCCCTCTCCCGCTAGAATGAACGATATGATTGACGAACAGCAAGCTTGAGTAGTTTGTAAAAGGTGTCGAATTGACTGAATATAGTCAATCTCATATATCCTTGCTATTCATACAGTGTTTTCGGAAAATATTCAGACCCCTTGATTTTTTTCCACATTTTGTTACGTTATAGCCTTATTCTAAAATGGATTAAATAATTTTCTTCCTTATCAATCTACACACAATATCCCATAATGACAAAGGGAAAACAGAAATACCTTATTTACATAAGTATTCAGACCCTTTGCTATGAGACTCGAAATTTACATTTACATTTACATCATTTAGCAGACGCTCTTATCCAGAGCGACTTACAAATTGGTGCATTCAACTTATGACAGCCAGTGGGACAACCACTTTTTTTTTTTTTTTTGTATGGGGATGGGGGAAGAAGGATTACTTTATACCTAATATATTCAGGTTCATCCTGTTTCCATTGATCATCCTTGAGGTGTTTCTACAACATGATTGGAGTCCACCTGTGGTAAATTCAATTGATTGGACATGATTTGGAAAGGCACACACCTGTCTATATAAGGTCCCACAGTTGACAGTGCATGTCAGAGCAAAAACCAAGCCATGAGGTCGAAGGAATTGTCCGTAGAGCTCCGAGAAAGAATTGTGTCGAGGCGCAGATCTGGGGAAGGGTACCAAAAAATGTCTGCAGCATTGAAGGTCCCCAAGAACACAGTGGCCTCCATCATTCTTAAATGGAAGAAGTTTGGAACCACCAATACTCTTCATAGAGCTGGCCGCCCAGCCAAACTGAGCAATCGGGGAAGAAAGGCCTTGGTCAGGGAGGTGACCAAGAACCTGATGGTCACTCTGACAGAGCTCCAGAGTTCCTCTGTGGAAATGGGAGAACCTTCCAAAAGGACAACCATCTATGCAGCACTCCACCAATCAGGCCTTTATGGTAGAGTGGCCAGACAGAAGCCACTCCTCAGTAAAAGGCACATGACAGCCCGCTTGGAGTTTGCCAAAAGGCACCTAAAGGACTCTCAGACCATGAGAAACAAGATTCTCTGGTCTGATGAAACCAAGGTTGAACTCTTTGGCCTAAATGCCAAGCTTCACATCTGGAGGAATCCTGGCACCATCCCTAAGGTAAAGCATGGTGGTGGCAGCATCATGCTGTGGGGATGTATTCCAGCGGCAGGGAAGACTAGTCAGGACCGAGGGAAAGATGAACGGAGCAAAGTACAGACAGATCCTTGATGAAAACCTGCTCCAGAGAGCTCAGGACCTCAGACTGGGGCAAAGGTTCACCTTCCAACAGGACAATGACCGTAAGCACACAGCCAAGACAACGCAGGAGTGGCTTCAGGAAAAGTATCTGAATGTCCTTGAGTGGCTCAGCCAGAGCCCGGATTTGAACCCGATCAAACATCTCTGGAGAGACCTGAAAATAGCTGTGCAGCGACACTCACCATCCAACCTGACAGAGCTTGACAGGATCTGCAGAGAAGAATGGGAGAACCTCCCCAAATACAGATGTGCCAAGCTTGTAGCGTCATACCCAAGAAGACTAGAGGCTGTAATCACTGCCAAAGGTGCTTCAACGAAGTACTCAGTAAAGGGTCTGAATACTTACGTAAATGTGATATTTCAGCATTTTCTTTTTAATGAATTTGCAAACATTTCTCTAAAAACCTGTTTTTGCTTTGTCATTATGGGGTATTGTGTGTAGATTGATGAGGGGGGGGAAAAACAATGTAATCAATTTTATAATAAGGCTGTAACGTCACAAAATGTAGAAAAGTCTGAAAGTCTGAATACTTCCCACATGCACTGTAAATCATTAAACGTACAGTTGAAGTCGGAAGTTTACATACACTTAGCTTGGAGTCAAATTTCTTGTTAACAAACTATAGTTTTGGCAAATCGGTTAGGACATCTACTTTGTGCATGACACAAGTAATTTTTCCAACAATTGTTTACAGACAGATTATTTCACTTATAATTCACTGTATCACAATTCCAGTGGGTCAGAAGTATACATACACTAAGTTGACTGTGCCTTTAAAAAGCTTGGAAAATTCCAGAAAACGATGTCATGGCTTTAGAAGCTTCTGATAGGCTAATTGACATAATTTGAGTCAATTGGAGGTGTACCTGTGGATGTATTTCAAGGCCTACCTTCAAACTCAGTGCCTCTTTGCTTGACATCATGGGAAAACAAAAGAAATCAGCCAAGACCACAGAAAAACAATTGTAGACCTCCACAGTCTGGTTCATCCTTGGGAGCAATTTCGAAACGCCTGAAGGTACCACGTTCATCTGTACAAACAATAGTACGCAAGTATAAACACCATGGGACCATGCAGCCGTCATACCGCTCAGGAAGGAGACGTGTAGAACTGTTTGGCCATAATGACTATCGTTATGTTTGGAGGAAAAAGGGGGTCGCTTGCAAGCCGAAGAACACCATCCCAACCGTGAAGCACCGTGGTGGCAGCATCATGCTGTGGGGGTGCTTTGCTGCAGGAGGGACTGGTGCACTTCACAAAATAGATGGCATCATGAGGAAGGAAAATGATGTGGATATATTGAAGAAACATCTCAAGACATCAGTCAGGAAGTTAAAGCTTGGTCGCAAATGGGTCCTCCAAATGGACAATGACCCAAGCATACTTCCAAAGTTGTGGCAAAATGGCTTTAACTCTTCCGAGTCGGCGAACGCTTCGGCGCGTTCAAATCGCGGGCCGGCTTTAGGACCGCGCAGCATCCCAAACCAAGTGACGCAGAGGGCTGCCGTCGATTTCATGCAGAAATGGAGACCCGAAGCTACGTTTTGAGTGTTTGTTTCATGTAAATACACCAACTAAAACCAAAGTTATGATAATTTCAATTCCATGAAAAAAGTGCGTCAAAATATGCGCTCTTTTATGAGCGCTTTGCATTTATTATAATAACTTTTGTCGTCTTTTGTGATAAAAAGGAACGGAAAAAAACGTGTGCTTGTGCTAACCCGGTTCTTCAGGATGCACACGAGTATATAAACATTCATTCCCATGACAACTAGCCATTGCGAAAGAACGAACGAGAGGAATTAGTTCAGTTCATGAGTAGTTTTGGAGAGTTTTTCACGAGTTAGTATTTCAATTGTTAGTATTTCAAGAGTTTTATTGTCAGCAGTATCGTTTTTGTGAAGCAATATGAGGCGCACACTTCACGTTGAACAAGCCGTCGACTTGTTATTCCAAATGAGCGATGAAGAAACTTTGGAAAGTTCGTCGTCAGACGACGACGACGACGAGCAGCCTGGGCCATCAACAGCCCCCACCCCCACAACAAGCCGACGGAGGCCATCACAGAGGGGGCGTGGAAGGAAGGATCAGGCCAAGACCAGGTCAAGATCTCCAGCCCAGTCAGCAGCACAGCCAGAACAGAGCTCTGAGCCATGGAAAACAGAGACTGATCCTGACACTGCCCCACAAGCCAGTAGGTTCATGCCCCGCAGACCACCAGGAGCCCAGGTGGATTTGCATTCAGGGCACACACCAAAGGACCTCTTCCTGCTCTACTTCGCCGCAGATACAATGAGGACAATCTGCAGAAACACCAACAAACAGGCAGCAAGAAATCAGCAGAAGGGGAGCAAATATCAGTGGACTGACGTTGATGTGGAGGAACTGCACAGATTTCTGGGTCTCCTCATCTACACCTCATTGGTGACTCTGCCTAGTATCCAGGACTACTGGAAACAAAGCCACATATTGTCTGTTTCATTGCCAGCGAAGGTCATGCCAAGAGACAGATTCCGGTCCATCTCATGGAACATCCACCTAAGTGATCCAGAGGAGGATGTCATAAATGACCAGCGCAAAGGTACACCCCAGCATGACAAACTGTTCAGGGTCAAACCTCTGATGGACGACATTCGCACTGCCTGCCAGGCTCATTACCATCCTAAGAAGGAACTGTCAGTCGACGAGAGGATGGTGGCTACAAAAGCCAAAACTGGCATGACCCAGTACATGAAGGACAAGCCTAACAAATGGGGGATCAAGCTCTTTGTGTTGGTAGAGTCTAACAATGGCTACACTCTAAACTTCAACGTGTATGTTGGGAAAGCACACACACCCAGCGTGCATGGACTTTCATATGATGCTGTTATGGACCTCATTCAGCCATCACATCTTGGTACAGGATACCATATTTATATGGACAATTTCTACACCAGCCCAAAACTGTTCCTGAGTTTGGGAAGTATGAAGTTTGGAGCCTGTGGGACCTACAGAAGCAACAGAAAAGGGTGTCCTAGTGGCAGAGAAAATGCCCTCACCAGCAAATCGAAGAGGGGGTCTGTGAGATGGATCAGAGAGGATCGCCTGGTCTTTGTGAAGTGGATGGATACGCGGGAGGTGTCGGTGTGCTCCACAATCCACCCAGCGTTTTCGGGCGAGACAATCAAGAGGAAGGTGAAGGAAGGACCTGGACGCTGGGTAGCAAAAGACATTCCCTGCCCTACCCCCATCATGGCCTACAATAAGTACATGGGAGGGGTTGACCTGTCAGACCAGCTTCTCCAGTATTACTCAACCCATCGCAGAACTGCTCGCTGGTACCGTACCCTCTTCCTGCATTTTTTGGACATGGGAACAACAAATGCATACATCCTGCACTGTGACATCAGTGCGACCCAACAGGTCACACCCATGACGCACAAGAACTTTGTGGCAGAACTTGTGGCCCAGCTGTGCGGAGTGACCCAGACAGGGGTTCCACTTCAAAAAAGCACCAGCCATGTTCCTGTGGCCATTGCCAATGTTGCAGAGGCCAAAGACAAAGCCACAGCAGGCCGCAGGGTTTGTCAACGCTGTAAACAAGTTGACAAGAAGAGGTTTGTCACACCATGGAAGTGCAAGGCCTGTGATGTGGCTCTCTGTGTCATTGTGGACAGGAACTGTTTTGAAGAGTGGCACAAATAGGGTAAAGGCCAGTGGCTATACCTACTTTTTTTGTAAATAGTTGTGTATTGCTTGTATATATCTCAAGAATACTTTTATATGTTCATATTTGCACTTTGTGGTTCAATTTGAAGCTTTTTTTTTCATTTTGGACAGAAACTGTTTTTGAGGAGTGGCACAAAAAGGTTTAGGGTTAGAATAGAAGAAAAACGCCAGTGGTTATACCTACTTTTTATTGTAAATAGTTATTTATTGCTTGTATATATCACCAAAATACTTTTATATGTTCATATTTGCACCTTGTGGTTCAATTTGAAGCTTTTTAAATGCTTGGTTCACCATGTTTGAGGGTTTTACAATAAAAAAAACATCTTTTTTCTAAACGGACTTTGTGTTTTCTGTGTGTGTTTGGGTCCAGTGTGTTGAAATAGTATGTCAAAGTGAAAAACTTACTAACAGATCATATAGGTGAGGTTGTGCTGAAAAAAAAGATACCCAACATTGGTCTGGTAAACATTTCTTTATGTAGTATATCAGGGCAAAATTGAAGGTACCCAAAAACGGCCAAAAAAGCTCCAGACTCCGAAGAGTTAAGGACAACAAAGTCAAGGTATTGGAGTGGCCATCACAAAGCCCTGACCTCAATCCTATAGAAAATGTGTGGGCAGAACTGAAAAAGCGTGTGCGAGCAAGGAGGCCTACAAACCTGACTCAGTTACACCAGCTCTGTCAGGAGGAATGGGCCAAAATTCACCCAACTTATTGTGGGAAGCTTGTGGAAGGCTACCCGAAACGTTTGACCCAAGTTAAACAATTTAAAGGCAATGCTACCAAATACTAATTGAGTGTATGTAAACTTCTGACCCACTGGGAATGTGATGAAAGAAATAAAAGCTGAAAAAATCATTCTCTCTACTATTATTAAAGTGGTGATCCTAACTGACCTAAGACATGGAATTTTTACTAGAATTAAATGTCAGGAATTGTGAAAAACTGAGTTTAAATGTATTTGGCTAAGGTGTATGTAAACTTCCGACTTCAAATGTACAGTGGGGAAAAAAAGTATTTAGTCAGCCACCAATTGTGCAAGTTCTCCCACTTAAAAAGATGAGAGAGGCCTGTAATTTTCATCATAGGTACACGTCAACTATGACAGACAAATTGAGAAAAAAAATCCAGAAAATCACATTGTAGGATTTTTTATGAATTTATTTGCAAATTATGGTGGAAAATAAGTATTTGGTCACCTACAAACAAGCAAGATTTCTGGCTCTCACAGACCTGTAACTTCTTCTTTAAGAGGCTCCTCTGTCCTCCACTCGTTACCTGTATTAATGGCACCTGTTTGAACTTGTTATCAGTATAAAAGACACCTGTCCACAACCTCAAACAGTCACACTCCAAACTCCACTATGGCCAAGACCAAAGAGCTGTCAAAGGACACCAGAAACAAAATTGTAGACCTGCACCAGGCTGGGAAGACTGAATCTGCAATAGGTAAGCAGCTTGGTTTGAAGAAATCAACTGTGGGAGCAATTATTAGGAAATGGAAGACATACAAGACCACTGATAATCTCCCTCGATCTGGGGCTCCACGCAAGATCTCACCCCGTGGGGTCAAAATGATCACAAGAACGGTGAGCAAAAATCCCAGAACCACACGGGGGGACCTAGTGAATGACCTGCAGAGAGCTGGGACCAAAGTAACAAAGCCTACCATCAGTAACACACTACGCCGCCAGGGACTCAAATCCTGCAATGCCAGACGTGTCCCCCTGCTTAAGCCAGTACATGTCCAGGCCCGTCTGAAGTTTGCTAGAGTGCATTTGGATGATCCAGAAGAGGATTGGGAGAATGTCATATGGTCAGATGAAACCAAAATAGAACTTTTTGGTAAAAACTCAACTTGTCGTGTTTGGAGGACAAAGAATGCTGAGTTGCATCCAAAGAACACCATACCTACTGTGAAGCATGGGGGTGGAAACATCATGCTTTGGGGCTGTTTTTCTGCAAAGGGACCAGGAAGACTGATCCGTGTAAAGGAAAGAATGAATGGGGCCATGTATCGTGAGATTTTGAGTGAAAACCTCCTTCCATCAGCAAGGGCATTGAAGATTAAACGTGGCTGGGTCTTTCAGCATGACAATGATCCCAAACACACCGCCCGGGCAACGAAGGAGTGGCTTCGTAAGAAGCATTTCAAGGTCCTGGAGGGGCCTAGCCAGTCTCCAGATCTCAACCCCATAGAAAATCTTTGGAGGGAGTTGAAAGTCTGTGTTGCCCAGCAACAGCCCCATAACATCACTGCTCTAGAGGAGATCTGCATGGAGGAATGGGCCAAAATACCAGCAACAGTGTGTGAAAACCTTGTGAAGACTTACAGAAAATGTTTGACCTGTGTCATTGCCAACAAAGGGTATATAACAAAGTATTGAGAAACTTTTGTTATTGACCAAATACTTATTTTCCACCATAATTTGCAAATAAATTCATTAAAAATCCTACAATGTGATTTTCCGGATTATTTTTTCTCATTTTGTCTGTCATAGTTGACGTGTACCTATGATGAAAATTACAGGCCTCTCTCATCTTTTTAAGTAGGAGAACTTGCACAATTGGTGGCTGACCAAATACTTTTTTCCCCCACTGTATATGTCCATGGTATCATATTCAGACAAGTAAACTAAACATGTCGTTTGTATTTTCGATATGAAGTCAGTCAGGACTTGCCAGACTGTCACGACTTCCTCTGAAGCTGCCTCCTTGTTCGGGCAGGCTTCGGCGTTAGTCATCACCGGCCTTCTAGACACTGCCGCTCCTCATCTCATCTTTTCATTTGTTTTGTCTTGTTTATTACACACACCTGGTTCATATCCCCTCATTAGTATCTGTATAAGTGTTCCCTCTGCCCCCTTGTCTTTGTGTGTGATTAGTTATTGTGGAGGTGACTCTAGCTCGGTGGAGCTACTTTGTATTTGTATCACCGGGTGAATCCCGTGTGCCTTGTTTTTCTCCAGTGCGCTGTACAGTGAGGGAAAAAAGTATTTGATCCCCTGCTGATTTTGTACGTTTGCCCACTAACAAAGACATGATCAGTCTATAATTTTAATGGTAGGTTTATTTGAACAGTGGGAGACAGAATAACAACAACATAAATCCAGAAAAACGCATGTCAAAAATGTTATAAATTGATTAGCATTTTAATGAGGGAAATAAGTATTTGACCCCTCTGCAAAACATGACTTAGTACTTGGTGGCAAAACCCTTGTTAGCAATCACAGAGGTCAGACGTTTCTTGTAGTTGGCCACCAGGTTTGCACACATCTCAGCAGGGATTTTGTCCCACTCCTCTTTGCAGATCTTCTCCAAGTCTTTAAGGTTTCGAGGCTGACGTTTGGCAACTCGAACCTTCAGCTCCCTCCACAGATTTTCTATGGGATTAAGGTCTGGAGACTGGCTAGGCCACTCCAGGACCTTAATGTGCTTCTTCATGAGCCACTCCTTTGTTGCCTTGGCCGTGTGTTTTGGGTCATTGTCATGCTGGAATAATTTTGGTCTCATCTGACCACAACACTTTCACCCAGTTCTCCTCTGAATCATTCAGATGTTCATTGGCAAACTTCAGACGGGCCTGTATATGTGCTTTCTTGAGCAGGTGGACCTTGTGGGCGCTGCAGGATTTCAGTCCTTCACGGCGTAGTGTGTTACCAATTGTTTTCTTGGTGACTATAGCCCCAGGCCGAGGAAGATTGACAGTTATTTTGTGTTTCTTCCATTTGCGAATAATCGCACCAACTGTTGTCACCTTCTCACCAAGCTGCTTGACGATGGTCTTGTAGCCCATTCCAGCCTTGTGTAGGTCTACAATATTGTCCCTGACATCCTTGGAGAGCTCTTTGGTCTTGGCCATGGTGGAGAGTTTGGAATCTGATTGATTGATTGCTTCTGTGGACAGGTGTCTTTTATACAGGTAACAAACTGAGATTAGGAGCACTCCCTTTAAGAGTGTGCTCTTAATCTCAGCTCGTTACCTGTATAAAAGACACCTGGGAGCCAGAAATCTTTCTGATTGAGAGGGGGTCAAATACTTATTTCCCTCATTAAAATGTAAATCAATTTATAACATTTTTGACATGCATTTTTCTGGATTTTTTTGTTGTTATTCTGTCTCTCACTGTTCAAATAAACCTACCATTAAAATTATAGACTGATCATTTCTTTGTCAGTGGGCAAACGTACAAAATCAGCAGGGGATCAAAAACTTTTTTCCCTCACTGTATTTACCGCATTGGAGTGTTTTACGCAATGCTGCGTACCGCTGTGTTCCTGAATAAACCATATATTCTGTGATTTACCCTCCTGCGCCTGGCTCCGTCCAAAATCACCCACTACACAGACAGTGATGTTAAAGTGAGTGACTCATCAGTAGCCTACTGAATTGCCGTAAGAGAGCTGGTCATTTGGCTTATCTGCAGATAAATTATGAAAACATTTTATGAAGATGGTGAATCCTCCTCACTGCAGGAACAATTGGTAGGCTAGTGGAGAGATAGCCTCACTCTGGTCCAAAATATGATAAAAGAAAACAAATTGAATTGTTTTAAAAGCTAATGCTACTTATATGGTATTTCCAAAGATATTGATTTAATCAAAGTGTTGACAATGGAGTAGTCATCTGCTGCTTTCTGTGTAGCAAAGCCCATGTTTAACACCTGATTAATTATTCAATCATACCTGTATTGCAGATAGCTGAGAAAATGCCTCTTAAAAAGGAAGCTTGACGCCTGAGGTAGTTAGCAGACTATTACAGGATTCTTTAAATGCCCAGTGCAGTCAAAATTAAGTTTTTCCTGTGTTTTATATCATATTGTACAACAGCTGATGTGTGTGAAAAAGTGTGAAAAATTTGATTTCCTGATAGTTGAAAATACAGTCTAGCATTAGAATGTACCAGAGGCCACCAAAATAGAGCTTGTTCGGCAAATAAAATCTTAACAACCCCCCCCCCCCCCCCCCCCAGCCCAGGGGTGCCTAGCTGGCTACTTTTTCTATTTGGCTGGCTACTCCATGTGCTTGTGGAAAATACTGACATGCACAGGTACACACAGGCACAGACAAATACACATGAATAGGGACACACAGGAATGTTTATCTGCTGAGTACATGCTGCAGAGTCACGGTTGGCCGTCACTTACAGGATGCTTTGAGATGAGTCTGGAGAAGGAGCTGTGTGTGTGTGTGTAAGGTGACACTGGAGAGGAGACGGCATGTGGTGAGATAGAATGACAGGCACCTGATACAGACACGCTAACTCAAATGACCCAGAACATCTTAGAATGGACAGGCAGGAGCCGATACCCTCTTTCTACACCACACACACATAGTCAATAGTCCCAAATACTAAAAGAAACATGCGTTTTAAATCTAACACCAAAGAGAATTCCCCTGTGACATGAGTCTAACCACAAACTCACCACAGAGATAATAAAGGAAGGATGCATGGCCACTTCCCCTGAGAGTCTCTCTCTCTCTCTCTCTCTCTCTCTCTCTATCTATCTCTCTCTACGCTCTCTTTAGTTTACCTCTATTTTGTCAGTCCCAATGTTCCTCCGGCCCAGTGGTGTGCGAGTACCGCTAGCTGACAACTCCCAAATCCACCCCTAGCCACTACCCCCTAGACCAGGGGTCTCCAACCCTGTTCCTGGAGAGCTACCCTCCTGTAGGTTTTCGCTCCAACCCCTGTTGTAACTCACCTGGTTCACCTTATCAACCAGCTAATTATTAGAATCAGATGTGCTAGATTAGGGTTGGAGTGAAAACCTACAGGACGGCAGCTCTACAGGAACAGGGTTGGAGAGCCCTGCCCTAGACACTTACCCTAGCCCCTACCCACCTAGACATCTACACTAGCCCCTGGCTCCTAGGCACTACACACTTTAGGCCTAATCCCAACTTTGTGTACTATATCATAAATATGGTTAGAATTCCACGTATAGCCTACGTGGTCCCAGGTCACATGTCTAACTGCTTATTTCTGTTGTCAAAAGGCCTTCAGCAGTCTACTCATTTGGAGTGTTGAGTCATATGAAGAGTCACACACACACACAACTTGATGAGTCACATAGTGACCTTTACCTCCACAGAGGAATGAGTCACACTTTCCCCTGACCCTCCGCTTTGACCCCTTTTGACCTTGAATGTTACATCATGCGGTCCTTTGTAGCTCAGTTGGTAGAAAATGGCGCTTGTAACGCCAGGGTAGTGGGTTCGATTCCCGGGACCACCCATACGTAAAATGTATGCACGCATGACTGTAAGTTGCTTTGGATAAAAGCAATTATATTATTATTATAAATGGCATATATTATCAGCCTCTCACTCTCTGTGTGTGTGTGACACTGTTGCACATCCCAAATCGACCCCTATCACCTAGGCAGTGTAGATATGAAAGGGGTAGGTAGGTATATTTTTGGGTCCAATACCGATTTTACGGAGGCTAAAGTCACCATTTCGTTTTTTTTTTCATAAATTGTGCTCCAAAGGATTAACAGATACTCTAAATTATGATTCCTTAACATTTTATTTGCGGTTTACAGGATATCCACCAAAAAGCAACTATATCCTCTATAAATACGACAGTAAAACTTGATTAGTTTACCTTCTTAGGTACAACTTAAAGATGTCTATCTATGGCAGTGGATAAGAAGTATGCAAAACTGTTGTGCTAAACCACCACAAGGGGTGGCTGGGTGAATTAATAGTAAATCTGAAAATGCACTGTTCACAAGTTCACAAATAAGCACTGAAATGCAGTAACATGCCATTCGTAATATCACCACTAGGTGTCAGCGTCAGCATTTGTCAAGTAGATTTACTACAGTGTTTACAACAGTGAAAGGTCATGTAAACAAACCTCGCAAATTTGTATAATTTTTTTTTATTTAACCTTTAAAGGGCTGACCCCATTTAGTCGACTGGTTGATTGTTTGGTCGATAGGCTGTTGGTCGACCGAGAATTTTTTAGTCGAGCAGTTGCAACAAAAAAAAATGTTTTATGGCATGTCTTGATTGATGCCTATCTCAGTGGACTAATCCATTGCGGAGGTGGCACACCAGTATCACCAGTAGTACATTTACTGTTAATTCCCATAATTAGTAATCTACAATGTTTGTTTGGTTATCGTAAATCAGTTAATGCATTCAATATATTATTATTACAGTCGTTTACAGTTCTCATTGTCGGAGTGGACACGTTGTTTGCAGAGTGTACAACCTAGGCTACACTTGTGAGGGACAAGTTTTGGTTTATTTCATTCTATTTACGAGTTGTCAATTTATTCATTGTCTTCAGCAACATTATTCAATGTTGAGTAAGGATGCGCACCTGACTACGCATAGAAGTAGGCCTAGGCTACCTGGCCTGTGCGCAAATGTAGGCTTATAAATGTGCCCATTTGGGGATCTGATAGTATTTCTGATTGTCTTAACTCACCACCACTAATGAGCTGTGGGGCTTCTCAAAGTAATTTTATTCTTCACCTCAAACAGAAAGTAAACAAAGTCTGTTTTACATCCATTGAGAAAATGTAGCCTATTTGAAAAATCTTTCCAGCTTTCTCCCTTTCAATAACCACTCGGCATGAAAGGCAAAAGAAATGTAATGCTCTCATCCGGTGGAAAGTCAGGAAATAGGCCTACCTGATCGCTTCTTATCCCTTGCGCAAATAGCCTACAGCTGTGTCTGTCCGGAGCTCACCAATGCATGAAACTCTGAGGGTCCAGAATGTTTTATACAATGTTGTAAGTTTGTTTGCCCAAGCTTTGGGATGGACCAAGTTGATAGTTGATACAATGTTTCAAGTTCCTTGCAGACCATGATTTTCCAATGGGATTTATTTTTATCAGGATATTTTCTACCTGCAGGCTGCAATGTTTTTATTTGTTGGCTTTATGTAGGCTATTCTTACATAGTTGGAAATGGCAATATAAGTTACTTTTAGATTTTTATTAATCACGACAATGATTGAGATACGAAGACTATATTATACAATAAATGGAACTGTTCCACGAAAACTGGCACGCAGATCGGTAGAAATGGTAAGATAAATTGGCACTCCAAATGGAAACGGTTGCAACCCCTGGTGTAGCCTATTACCGGCAACTTCGGGAGCATAATGGCAGAATCTGCGAAGGCCAGCAGCAGTGGGAGGAGGTGGTTCGGGAACAGTTCTTTTTCTTTAGGCTATCTTGATCTCTGCCTCCCTCGAGTCATTTGTGTGTCTTACTTATTTAATCACAGCATGCTTAAAGCATCAGACAAGCTCAGTAGCCTACATATAGTTGATTTTATTAAAACACATAGGGTGTGTCTATATATGGAAAAATACATGTTTTAAAATTTTGACCAGTCGAGTGGTCAAAAGAACAGACGACTCTTGGTCGACCAATATTTTTTTAGTCAGGGACAGCCCTAAACCTTTATTTAACTAGGCAAATCAATTAAGAACAAATTCCTATTTACAATGATGGCCTACCAAGAGCAAAAGGCGTGTGCAATGAGGGTACGTTATGACAAGCACAAGCTAGTTGTTCATTACGACCACGTTTTCTTACAGAAACCATATGTACTCAATAAAAACATTTATTGGCTATACATTTCAACTGAAAATGGCATGCGCTAATGACTGAAAACATTTATGCAGGAAAACGCTTGCCGCACTGGTTTAAGTCACACTTTCTAATTTAGCTAGCTAGCTAACATTAGCTACTTATCTCATCATGAATGGCCTTAATGATAGATCTGTGCCAAATGTCTTGCTTTTTGTAGATAGCATTTTTCGGAAAACTAACTAAATAAGCCCACTAGCTAACATAATTGGCCCAGATAGTAACTGTGTTCTTTTTGTATCAAGTATGAGTGTTCACGTTGGCGCTAGTCCAGTGTTAGCACATAAGTAACACAGATTTCAACTAGCTAGCTAGCTATGCTAACTACCTTGCTGGCTAGCTAGCCAGCTAACGTTAACTAAGTGAGAATGTGATGAGGACAGGGCTACTTGCTTGGTGAAGTCTACTTTTGATTATTTAGTTATTCATATACGCTGGCTGTGGCAAGCTACTCACCATTAAACCACCATGCCTACTCTCTCTCACATTGTGACCTAGGGCTGAATGATGTTCAATGAGCAGCTCGTAGAGCGCCCTCTTCAGGCAACCATTGAACATTTATAAAAATGACCGCAATGAGCAGAGACGTACAGTGCCTTCAGAAAGTATTCCCTACCCCTTCACTTTTTCCACATTTTATTGTGTTACAGACTGAATTGTAAATGGATTAAATTTAGATTTTTGTCACTGGCCTACACACAATACCCCATAATGTCAAAGTGGAATTACGTTTTTCGAAATGTTTACAAATTAAATAAAAAATGAAAAGCTAAAATGTCGAGTCAATAAGTTTTCAACCCCTTTGTTATGGAAAGCGTAAATAAGTTCAGGAACAACATTTTGCTTAACAAGTCACATAAGTTGAATGGACTCATTCTGTGTGCAATAATAGTGTTTAACATGATTTTTGAATGATTACCTCATCTCTGTACCCCACACATACAATTATCTGTAAAGTCCCTCAGTCGAGAAGTGAATTTCAAACACAGATTCAACCACATAGACCTGGGAGGTTTTCCAATGCCTCGCAAAGAAGGGCACCTATTGGTAAATGGGAGAAGAAAATTATAACTAAAAACAGACATTGAATATCCCAGAGCATGGTTAAGTTATTAATTACACTTTGGATGGTGTATCAATACACCCAGTCACTACAAACAAGGCCTAAAATGTACTTTTTGTTCCACCAGCCACTGTGGCAGGTACCTGCCAAAATATTTTTTCACCATAATTACATTAAAAAAATGATGATCATGCTTTGTAATGTTTCTAAAACAAGAAATGTATTAGTAAGAAGTAATGTGGTATATTGCTCAATTTCATTTCATTATTTGTGACCTGAGTCTTTTACCCAAAATATCAGATGAGAAAAAAATGTCAGCTGTCCCTTTAAGGGCGGGAGGTTACTGGGGTTAACGGGGCCACTCGAGTCGTTTCAGTGTGTCGGTGTGTGTGATTTGGGATGTGACTAGTAGTAGACAGCATCTACAGCGTCTCAATGATATCAGTTGAAGCAGCAGATTCAAACTAACATTGAAAAACAACCAAGCTTGTGAAGAAAACAATGTAAATAGCCAAGAAAAAGGAGGACAAAGTCTCACTTTGCTGACTCAAGTAAATTAGACCAACTTTTATGCCTGTGCCAGTGCCTCCAAAAATGAATCTATCAGCGCTTCACTCACAGTGCGCAAAGCTGTTGCTGTGTGAGGTGGGAGGTAGGATTCATATTTCTTTGTGCGTTTAGCAGCTATGAAACAAAACAGCAGAAATACTTTGAAAACAGCTACTTCAGCATTTTTCTGCTAGAACTTGCAACTCGCACATATGCTCATACTTGACTTTTGACTCTATTTTTATTCACAAATGCGAATGTAATGCTCGCACTGTAGAGCCCTGCAAATTGACCAACCGCCAACGTACAATGGGTATGCTTGTCATCGGCAAGGACTAGGGAGTTTTTTATGATTAAAAGAAACGGAATAGAACTAAGAACAGGCAAAATCCTAGAGGAAAACCTGGTTTAGTCTGCTTTTCAACAGACAATTGGGAGACAAATTCACATTTCAGCAGGACAATAACTGAAAACACAAGGCCAAATATACACTGGAGTTGCTTACCAAGATGACATTGAATGTTGCTGAGTGGCCTAGTTAATGTTTTGACTTAAATCGGCTTAAAAATCTATGGCAAGACTTGAAAAGGCTGTCTAGCAATGATCAACAACCAACTTGACAGAGCCTGAAGAATTAAAAAAATTATAATATGCAAATATGGTACAATCCAGGTGTGCAAAGCTCTTAGAGACTTACTTATCCAGAAATACTCACAGCTGTAATCACTGCCAAAGGTGATTCTGCCAAAGGCTGCCATGGCGTTGAATACTTATCTAATCAAGATATTAGTGTTGAATATTTCATACACTTTTGACAAATGCTATAATTTTTCTTCCACTTTGACATTACAAAGTAGTTTGTGTAGATCGTTGACTAAGAATTACAATTAAATCCATTTGAATTCCACTTTGTAACAACAAAATGTTAAAAATGTCAAGGGTGTGTATACTTTCTGAAGACACTGTATTTGTTTATTCTATGTATATAATATTGGCGCTTTATCTGTGCAACAATGATCGACAAATAATTATGTGAAAGGCTAATATCGGCCGATAATATTGGCCAACCGATTTATCAGTTGGGCTCAAGGGTTAACACAAACACACACATAGATACACACACACAGACATAGACAGACACACACACACAGATACACACACATAGATACACACAGATACACACACATAGATACACACAGATACACACACACACAGATACACACACACATAGACAGACACACACACACAGACATAGACAGACACATACAGACATAGACACACATACACACACACACACACACACACACACACACACACACACGCACAGACACACACACCCCCTCTGACATCTAAGGACAACAGCATAGACCTGCTAATCAGTGAGGTCAGTTCGTTCCCCCTGCTGATGGTTGCGGTTCAAATGCAAGGAGGGAAAGCTGATCCTCGAGCACTTCCTGTGGTCAACTTCTACCCACAGAGGATAGCTCTACTCTGTAACAACAAGAACACTCTGCAGACAGCAGTATAGGAGAGGTACTGGACAGAACAGAAGATTGAGGTCTTACTGTAGTGTACACAGTGGTGAAAGTAGACTTACCGGTACGGTACTCCCTATGTGTGCGCGCACATTTTAAAAAATGTTATAGCCTAGATATAATCATAGAATACATCTATAATCCCTATTAATTTGATATGATCTCTGTAGGCCCAGTAGGCCTAGTCAAGATTGTCATATAACTTTTAACATGTATTAACTTTTAATGTGGCAGAAACACAACCAGTCATGAAGTTTATCTGATTGTCAAATAATCACTTTAAAAAGTGACTCCTAACCCTAACCCTAATTCTAACCCTAAACCTAACCCCTAAGCTGAAAATAGTATTTTTCCTCATGGGGACAGGCAAATGTCCCCACAAATGTCCACACTCCTTGTTTTACTATCCTTATGAGGACCTCTGGTACAAGGATAGCTAAACAAAAACACACACACACACACACAAGCACACAAGCACATAAGCACATACACACAAACTGAACGCACAAACAAACACACACACAGAGAGACACACATACACACACTCACTGCCCTTCAAATAGTTTTTTTGCAGCCTTTTACTTGGCAGTGTGCCCGGTGGTTAGAGTGTTTCATTTTCCCTGTAAAGAACTGGGCAGCTGTCCAGAGACAGACAAAGAGAGAGGGAGGGGGGAAAAAGAGGGAGAGAGAGGAGCGAGAGAGGAGAGAGGGGGATGATTTAGTAAAAGAATGAAAGAGTAGGGGAAGGGATGGAAAGAGAGGAACAGAAGGAAAAAAAGAAAACGAAGACCCCAGACCCTCTTATTATCAGTTCCCTCCAAAACACAGTGATTGATATGATCACACAAGCAGTTTTCCCTCTCTCTCTCCGTCTCTCTCTCTCTCCGTCTCTCTCTTTCCCTCTCTCCCTCCCTCCCCTTAGCTGCCATCGTGTCCCCCTCTCCTATCTAAGCCCTCATTTTCTTTCTCTGTTCTGGAGAGGACCATTCTCCCCCTGTGGGAACCACACTCTAGCACACACACACACACACACACACACACACACAGCTCCTCAGCAAACAAACACCATGAATACTAACGCCTTTGTGTCCGCCGCACTTAAAGCGGGGGAGAGAGGGAGGTGGAGGAGAGAAAGAGAGGGAAAAAAACGAGGGAGAAAAGAGAAGCTGTAATAGTGTTGATCTTGTGGCTACTCTCACAGACCCCTTCCCTTCCTCCCACCTCTCTCATTTTCTCCTTCTTCCCACCAGTTCTCTGGGGAATAAAGACCTCCATTCATCTGGAGGAGAGACACAGCAGGGGGGAGAAGGGGAGGCATTGGGAGGCTCAAGGTGGGACAGTCTGTGGAACTCTCTATGTTTGTGTGTGTGTGTGTGTTTGTGTGTGTGTGTGTGTGGGTTGGTTCTTTTATCCTTGTGGGGACCTAAAATCCCTGAAAGTCCCCACAAGGATAGTAAAACAAGGAAAATTATCCCTTGTGCCCACGTCCCCATGAGTACAAACGCTTAGGGGTTAGGTTTAGTGTTACAATTAGGGTTAGGGTTAGAATTAGGGTTAGGGTAAAGGTAAGGGGTTAGTGGTTAGGTGTAGGGTTAGGAGTTAGTTTATGTTAGGGTTAGGGCTAGGGATTAGAGAAAATAGGATTTTGAATGGAAATTAATTTTAGGTCCCCACGAGGATAGAAGAACATAACGTGTGTGTGTGTGTGTGTATATATATACACTATATACAGTGCATTCTGAAAGTACTCAGACCCCTTGACTTTTTCCACATTTTGTTATGTTACAGCCTTATTCTAAAATGAATTAAATTGTTAGTTTTTTCCTCATCAATATACAAACACAATACCCCATAATGACAAAGCAACAAAAGGTTTTTTGATTTTTTAGCACATTTATTTAAAAAATAACTGAAATACCACATTTACATAAGTATTCAGACCCTTTACTCAGTACTTTGTTGAAGCACCTTTGGCAGCGATTACAGTCTTGAGTCTTCTTGGGTATGACGCTACAAGCTTGGCACACCTGTATTTGGGGAGTTTCTCCCATTCTTCTCAGCAGATCCTCTCAAGCTCTGTTTGGTTGGATGGTGAGTGTCACTGCACAGCTATTTTCAGGTCTCTCCAGAAATGTTTGATCAGGTTCAAGTCCAGGCTCTGGCTGGGCCACTCAAGGACATTCAGAGACTTGTCCCAACGCCACTCCTGCATTGTCTTGGCTGTGTGCTTAGGGTCATTGTCCTGTTGGAAGGTGAACCTTCGCCCCAGTCTAAGATCCTGAGCACTCTGGAGCAGGTTTTCATCAAGTATCTCTCTGTACTTTGCTCCGTATATCTTTCCCTCGATCCTGACTAGTCTCCCAGTCCCTGCCGCTCAAAAACATCCATACAGCATGAAGCTGCCACCACCATGCGTCACCGTAGGGATGGTGCCAGGTTTCCTCCTGACGTGACGCTTGGCATTCATTCAGGCCAAAGAGTTCAATCTTGGTTTCATCAGACCAGAGAATCTTGTTTCACATGGTCTGAGAGTGCTTTAGGTGCCTTTTGGCAAACTCCAAGTGGGCTGTATTTGTATTTGTATTTATTATGGATCCCCATTAGCTGCTGCCAAGGGGTCCTGCCTGGGATACAGCAACATTAAGGCAGTTATACATTTGAAAAACATTACAATACATTCATAACAGATTTCACAACATATTAAGTGTGTGCCCTCAGGCCTCTACTCTCCTACCACATATCTATAACACAAAATCCATGTGTACATGTGTGTATAGTGCGTTTGTTATCGTGTGTTTGTATGCATGTGTCTATGTTTGTGTTGCTTCACAGTCCCCGCTGTTCCATAACGTGTATTTTTATCTGTTTTTTAAATCTAATTTTACTGCTGGCATGAGTTACTTGATGTGGAATAGAGTTCCATGCAGTCATGGTTCTATGTAGTACTGTGCGCCTCCCATAGTCTGTTCTTGATTTGGGGACTGTGAAGAGACAGTTACTGCCTTTTACTGAGGAGTGGCTTCCATCTGGCCAATCTACCATAAAGACCTGATTGGTGAAGTGCTGCAGAGATGGTTGTCCTTCTGGAAGGTTCTCCCATCTCCACAGAGGAACTCTGGAGCTCTGTCAGAGTGACCCCCGATTGCTCAGTTTGGCTGGGCGGCCAGCTCTAGGAAGAGTCTTGGTGGTTCCAAACTTCTTCCATTTAAGAGTGATGGAGGCCACTGTGTTCTTGGGGACCTTCCATGCTGCAGACATTTTTTGGTACCCTTCCCCAGATCTGTGCCTTGACACAATCCTGTCTTGGAGCTCTACGGACAATTCCTTCGACCTAATGGCTTAGTTTTTGCTCTGACATACACTGTCAACTGTGGGACCTTATACAGTGCCTTGCAAAAGTAGTCATCCCCCTTGGCGTTTTTCCTATTTTGTTGCATTACAACCTGTAATTTAAATGGATTTTTATTTGGATTTCATGTAATGGACATACACAAAATAGTCCAAATTGGTGAAGTGAAAATAAAAAAATAACTTGTTTCAAAGAATTCTAAAAAATTAATAACGGAAAAATGGTGCGTGCATATGTATTCACCCCCTTTGCTATGAAGCCCCGAAATAAGATCTGGTGCAACCAATTACCTTCAGAAGTCACATATTTAGATAAATAAAGTTGAACTGTGTGCAATCTAAGTGTCACATGATCTGTCACATGATCTCAGTATATATACACCTGTTCTGAAAGGCCCAAGAGTCTGCAACACCACTAAGCAAGGGGCACCACCAAGCAAGCGGCACCATGAAGACCAAGGAGCTCTCCAAACAGGTCAGGGACAAAGTTGTGGAGAAGTACAGATCAGGGTTGGGTTAAAAAAAAATATCAGAAACTTTGAACATCCCACAGAGCACCATTAAATCCATTATTTAAAAATGGAAAGAATATGGCACCAAAACTCACCGACCAGGCAAGGACGGCATTAATCAGAGAGGCAACAAAGAGACCAAAGATAACCCTGAAGGAGCTGAAAAGCTCCACAGCAGAGATTGGCGTATATGTCCATAGGACCACTTTAAGCCATACACTCCACAGAGCTGGGCTTTATGGAAAAGTGGTCAGGAAAAAGCCATTGCTTAAAGAAAAAAATAAGCAAACACGTTTTGTGTTCGCCAAAAGGCATGTGGGAGACTCCCCAAACATATGGAAGAAGGTACTCTGGTCAGATAAGACTAAAATTGAGCTTTTTGGCCATCAAGGAAAACGCTATGTCTGGCGCAAACCCAACACCTCTCATCACCCCGAGAACACCATCCCCACAGTGAAGCATGGTGGTGGAAACTGGTCAGAATTTAAGGAATGATGGATGGCGCTAAATACAGGGAAATTCTTGAGGGAAACCTGTTTCAGTCTTCCAGAGATTTGAGACTGGGAAGGAGGTTCACATTCCAGCAGGACAATGACCCTAAGCATACTGCTAAAGCAACACTCGAGTGGTTTAAGGGGAAACATTTAAATGTCTTGGAATGGCCTAGTCAAAGCCCAGACCTCATTCCAATTGAGAATCTGTGGTATGACTTAAAGATTGCTGTACACCAGCGGAACCCATCCAACTTGAAGGAGCTGGAGCAGTTTTGCCTTGAAGAATGGGCAAATATCCCAGTGGCTAGATGTGCCAAGCTTATAAAGACATACCCCAAGAGACTTGCAGCTGTAATTGCTGCAAAAGGTGGCTCTACAAAGTATTGACTTTGGGGGGGGTGAATAGTTATGCACGCTCAAGTTCAGTTTTTTTGTCTTATTTCTTGTTTGTTTCACAGTAAAAAATATTTTGCATCTTCAAAGTGGTAGGCATGTTGTGTAAATCAAATGATACAAACGTAAGGCAACAAAATAGGAAAAATGCCAGGGGGGGGGAATACTTTCGCAAGCCACTGTATAGACAGGTGTGTGCCTTTCCAAATCATGTCCAATCAATTGAATTGACCACAGGTGGACTACAATTAAGTTGTTGAAACATCTCAAGGATGATCAATGGAAACAGGATGCACCGGAGCTCAATTTCAAGTCTCATAGCAAAGGGTCCGAATACTTATGTAAATAAGGTATGTTTTTTTATTTTTAATACATTTGCAAAAATCTCTAAAAGCCTGTTTTCGCTTTGTCATTATGGGGTATTGTGTCTAGATTGATGGGGATTTTTTATTTATTTAATCCATTTTAGAATAAAGCTGTAACGTAACAAAATGTGTAAAAATTAAAAGGGTCTGAATACTTTTCGAATGCACTGAATACTAGTATGTGGACACCCCTTCAAGTTAGTGGATTTGGCTATTTCAGCCACACCCGTTGCTGACAGGTGTATAAAATTGAGCACACAGTCATGCAATCTACATTGACAAACATTGGTACTAGAATGGCCTTACTGAAGAGCTCAGTGACTTTCAACGTGGCACCGTCATAGGATGCCGCCTTTCCAACATGTCAGTTTGTCAAATTTCTGCTATGCTAGCGCTGCTCCGGCCAACTGTAAGTGCTGTTATTGTGAACTGGAAACGTCTAGGAGCAACAACGGCTCAGCCGCGAAGTGGTAGGCCACACAAGCTCACAGAACATGACCGCCGAGTGCTGAAGCACGTAGCGCGTAAAAATAGTCTGTCCTCGGTTAGAACACTCATTACCCGAGTTCCAAACTACCTCTGGAAGCAATGTCAGCACAAGAACTGTTCGTTTGGAGCTTCCAGAGAACGACCAGCAGCACAATGCCAAGCGTCGGCTGCAGTGGTGTAAAGCTCGCGCCATTGAACTCTGGAGCAGTGGAAATTCGTTCTCTGGAGTGATGAATCACGCTTCACCATCTGGCAGTCCGATGGACAAATCTGGGTTTGGCGGATGCCAGGAGAATGCTACTTGCCCCAATGCATAGTGCCAACTGTAAAGTTTGGTGGAGGAGGAATAATGGTCTGGGGCTGTTTTTCATGGTTCGGGCTAGGCCCCTTAGTTCCAGTGAAGTGAAGTGACATCTTAACGCTACAGCATACAATGACATTCTAGACAATTCTGTGCTTCCAACTTGGTGGCAACAGTTTGTGGAAGGCCCTTTCCTATTTCAGTATGACAATGCTCCCGTGTACAAAGCCTGGTCCATTCAGAAATGGTTTGTCGAGATCGGTGTGGAAGAACTTGACCTCAACCCCATCGAACACCTTTGGGATGAATTGGAACGCCGACTGTAAGCCAGGCCCAATCGCCCAATATCAGTGCCCAACCTCACTAATGCTCTTGTGGCTGAATGGAAGCAAGTCCCCGTTGCCATGTTCCAACATCTAGTGGAAAGCCTTCCCAGAAAAGTGGAGGCTGTTATAGCAGCAAAGGGGGGACCAATTCCATATTAATGCCCATGATTTTAGAATGAGATGTTGGACGAGTAGGTGTCCACATACTTTTGGTCATGTAGTGTATCTCTATGTGTGTGTGTGTGCGTGCGTGCGTGCATGAGTGCCTGCATCTTCAGCTCAAAGACGATGTAAACAAGGTATTTAAACCAGTTCAAACAGTGTCCAATAAAATAAGCCATCTTTGGAAAAACTGCCTTATTCAAGGTGTCTTCTTCCCTTTCCCACTGAGCTTGAGAGAGTTCTGTTTACATTACTTATTTAAGGCAACCATGGATGTAATGCACAGTGCTACACAAGGCTTGCTCATACATTTAAAAGCGTAACTCTTAGAATGTGAGTGATATGCTTGGTATTAAAATGTGTGATTATTAGCATGAATTAATCTTTATCCTACAGAGATGACTCGATCTCAGAGTGTGTTATTACAACAGAATGGAGAGGGTCCCCTGCTGAACAACACAGTCACATTTACATGCTATACAAAGCATATGTCTAATGCCTGTCATTACCATTAATGACTGTGTGTGTGTGTGTGTGTGTGTGTGTGTGTGTGTGTGTGTGTGTGTGTGTGTGCGCGTGCGTGCGTGCGTGGTGAATAGCTATAAGAGCATCGCTTTAGGAAGGCAATTACAGTGATTATTACGGCGATTATGTGCTGATTGTTCCTCTTATGTAGTGGTAAGTGTGACACTAAGCCAGAGCAGATGCTCTACACACAGAAAATATCCCACACATGCAGACACACATACACACAAACACACACTAGAGTTGTCACGATACCAACATTTAGACTTCGATACCGATAAGTTACCAGGTTTAGTATCATGATACTCGATACCAAAATGATACCGCTGAAAAAAAGAAGGCATATTAGCCAAAGTCACAGAATAGCACTTAAATCCAGACAGATAAACTCAGCTACTGCTCTGTTCAATCGTTGGGCATCTTATGAGTTCAATATCATTACATTCAAATGTTTTACGTCAAAAATGTTCAGAGACAGCCATGTGTGTATTAATGAATCAATGATACAATCATACAATCAATTTGACTTTGTTTTTACCAATCTAACAACATAACGGTAATAATTTTTTTGAATGGTAAATCTCTATTGATAAACTGGGTAAATCAAGATGTAGCTTAGGCCTATTCACAATACAGGTAAATGCATATTCAATAGGTGTGTTGCATGCATTTAGTTATTGAGCTTGTTTTGGCTGATTTCATGGGGCTACAGATGACAAACAATCTGTTTCCCTTCCATTTGAGACTTATTTTATTGTACTGATCAACAACATTTGCATATAAGTAGCTTATTTTATAAAAGTGTGTGCTGCCTCTTTAACCTGTAATGATGTCATTCATGAGGCAAGAGATGGCGGCCTCAGTCGGAGCCCTATTCACACACACAGTCAGTTCGCTGAGGCAATAGATCATCTTTGGGAGAGACGTGAGAGATAGACCGATTAAGTGAATTAATAAAGTTTTGGTGGCAATCAGCATTGAAATCAGGTGGTTTGATCATATGGTTTGCATATTATCAAAAACAAAGTACTAGGGTAGTGAATTGATATTAGCTTCAGCTGTAAGCTAGCAAGGAAAGTTAGCCTACAAAGCAGGAAGCTACCAGTATCTTCTCGCATTGTAAAGTTTTCTATCCTGTATGGACATTGTTTTGCGAACAGTAATGAACAGTTTCAACATTTCTACATGCCGTGTCGCATTATTCAAGTGTGTTAATTTCTGTGCCGCATGACTGGGGAGCTAAACATGACTCCCAGACTCCCAGTGCAGCACACCTGGCACCAGGATAAAGTGACTAAGGGGGCAGTTGAAATTGGTGAGGGGGGACAATTTTGGGGGGGTTCTTGCATCGGAATTATATTGAATTCTGCTTATATCTCGCTATACCACAATAAACATAAAGTTTAAATGCCTAGACGCTGAGACCATTGATTGAGTGCTTTTGAAGTGACAGGCTGGCGTGTGACATCTTCGCTGAGCTGTATCAGCACAATGGACAGCGCCCTACACACTAATGCAAGGCCGTTTTGGTAATGAATATAGGCTACAAGATAGATAAGGTAATTCCCTTATTACAAACAGCCTATGTGAATGCAGCCGTACACACAGCTATCTTACCAAAATAATGCAAACTAAATGCTGAAAGCAGTAGCATAGTTATTCATGCATGCAAACAAAAATACTGAATAGCAGTTTGGCTTAGAATAAAGACACAACTGCGAAAGCGAACGAATGAATGCGAACAGAACAAAACATCGGTACCAAGAAGGCCTAGTAAACAAAATATCAGATTGATAAAGGCGTGACAATCTATATTTAGGTTAGTTACATTAACATTAAACAAACGCAGTAAACAAAAGGCGAATGGAGATCCAAATAACCAGAACATAGCCTACAGTATACTACTGTGAGATGTAGCCATGCACAGCTATTTTGCCAAACAAATTTGCCTATAGGCCGGCTTCAAACTTGGAAAATCATGCCACTCATGAGTACAGCAACACGTTGTGATATGGCACAATACACTTCTGTGGAACAAATTCAACCCACGTAATCAATTAAGCAATGCCAGCCTACCATAAACACGTTTCCAATACGTACAATTCCATTTACAACCATGAAAACCAATAGGCTACAAGACCATTGAGTGCTTTTGACCAAGAAGTGACAGGTTGGTGCAAAATCTCCAATCTCTATCTGCACCATGGACAGCGCCCTACACACTAAAGCAAGTCAGTTGAAAACCTATCTTGGCTAAAGGCGGCCGCATGCTTCCCTTCCGAAACAGTTTGTGTAGATATTATGACAACATTTTGGCAAGGGTTTTTTCGACTGTTCGTGCACACAAATCATTTTTTAGAGGCAAGACTAATTTCGGTAGCCGAAGTCTACGCTCCTTCACCTGTGATTGGTCAACTGTAGGGGTGACGAGGGTTTCTTCTTCACGATTCAGCCCAAAACTCAGTATGCATTCAACATGGCGAACGACAACTTCGAGCATCGATTGACCGAGGAGGTACAGAAGTACCTGCACCTCTACGATTCTAGCCATGCATTACATTAAGACCAGCATGTAAAGGCCAATTAATGGAGGGAGATTGCGGAGACGCTGAGGTCCGACCCAACCACTTGTTGTAAAAAGTGGGGTAGGGTTTGCGACAAGTTGGTAGAGCATGGTGCTTGCAACGCTAGGGTTGTGGGTTCGTTTCCCACAGGAGGCCAGTATGAAAAATGTATGCACTCACTAACTGTAAGTCGCTCTGGATAAGAGCGTCTGCTAAATGACAAAAAAAAAAGAAAAAAAAAAGTTCCTCAAGGCAAAGAAAAAAACAGAGGACTGCAGTGGAGGTAACGGTGGAAAGGCTACTCCAGAAATTTTGCTGCAGCTTCCCTGGCTTGTTCGGCACGTGAAGCATGGGAAGACTGAAAGCAACATGCCATCTTCACCAGAGGATGAGGTATGTTGTTGAATTTTCTATTGTAGTCGACGAAAAGAGTAGCCATGTTTGCTAACAATAGCTAGCCAGCTAGTGCTGGCTACTTGGCTGGCTAGTGGCTAGCTAGCGTAGTAGCATACTTGTGCAGAGAAAGCAAGAAAACCAACTAAACTTGAGATCTTTACAACTTTTTGATCAAACATCATTATGTCAGAGAAATAAAATCAAAAGCTTCACACATTGGTAAGTCAAAGTTTAGTAGCAAGGTCCAGCTAGCTAAAATGTTGCAAACGTTTGAGCAGAGTTGAGTAGCTAGGCCAGGCCTACTAAACTCTGCTCAAACGTTTGCAACATTCTAGTCTATTCTAGTCTCGGTTAATGATATTTTATATGATCTTCATTGATCGTTTTGGATGGTTTGGATATGTGTACTAAATAGCCCTCTACTTTTTTATTTTTCAAGGCACAAATACCAGAATGAAGACAGAATTAGGTTTTGTTCTCTGCGCCCCAGCACTGCCTGTTCACCAGTCCCCAGCACTGCCTCTGCCCCCAGTACTGACTGATCATCGGCCCCCAGCCCATCTCCTGCACTTCGCTGCAGTGAAGAATTGGTAACAATCTCCATGCAGGAACTGGGACGCTGTATTCTCGGCCCACCTCCAAAACCTACTCCACTGGCTTGCTCCTTACCAATGCCACAGAGTAGCAGCAGTAGTAGCAGGGGTGTGAGAAGAAGGGAGAAAAGAGCTGCAGACTCAGCCCTTGACACATCACTTGCAAAGACATTGCAAATGACTGAAGACGGATCTCAAGATTTGTTCCGAAATATTTAGATTGTTCATAAATATTTGTATCTCCAACCTGACACTTTCATTTTATTCCATAGTCACTTGTTGTTTACATGTCTGTTCTTAGCAGACACTTTTGTATAGTATTGTGGTTTACTTTCAGCGTCCCAAAGCAAGAATAAAGGTTTACTGTTGTGTGCTGAAAAAGCTCTGTTGGCATTTCTTCATCTCAAGTGCTGACAATGTAGAGAAGAGCTGTGTGCCACAGACTTTACAGGGCGTTCTTCTATTTGTGTGATGTAGTCCAACCTAATCTACATTACTGCACACTGAGACATCATAGAATCAGGTTTCATTTTATTAACAAGATTACAACTCTACATTTTAGTACAATTACTTTGGTTCACAGTGCACACATAAAGAACTGTGAGTCTGTGTGCGTCCATCAAGGGGTGTGTGTGTGTGAGTAGTCCAACAAAAGCCTATTCTGCATGATTTGCTGGCCTTGGGTTGAGTTGTCCTCACCTAACCATGGCACACGTCCGGGGGGCGGGGTGGCGGGAGGAGTCCCTAAGCTTGTTTCTTGTTTCACTTGCAAGCCGTGTCGCCCTGGCACGAGAGTGTCTCCCTGGCTCTTGGAGATTGTTGTCCCCTGCCTCCACTCTCCCGGTTGATAGTTGCCAGGAGGGGCATGTCAGCAAAAGCGGGAGGCACGTGTCTTGCGTTTGGCTCATGAGCTTCTTCTGTGGAGGACAGGTAGTTGTGGAGGGCCACACATGCCTTCACAATGTCCTTTGCATATTTGGTCAACAACAAAAAACACCATACAATTTTCCAGGAACCATATTCTAAAAGCCTTGGTAAAATGACAGTGATCATATAGAGGTGCATACATGTATGCAGAAACCAGAGAAATTAGAAACAGAAAAAGTGAAATTGATTCCAACATTCTATTATCAACATACCTGGATAAGGGCGCATGAGGTTCTCATGTAGGGGGAAAGCTGCATCTCCCAGGAAAAAATGAGGACTTAGCATTGTGCTACCTGGAAGGACAGCTGCCGGTGATAAATCAAGGGTCTTCTGCAGCAGTTTGGACCCAAAATAACTCTTGAAACACTCCACCATCGCTCTCTCTGCCGTATGCCCCTGCATCCACCATTGTGAACCTGTAGCGGGCATCACACACTGCCATCAAGATAATGGAGTGGGTGCCTTTGTAGTTGAAGTAGTCGCTGTCGGCACTGACGGGGACCCTGATCTGGACATGCTTTCCATCAATCAATCCAACACACTTGGGATCATTCCAGAGTCTCCAAAAGACTTGGGCAATCGTGGTCCACTGATCCCCTGTAGGAAAAGCTACAAAGTCGTCCTTCAGGGCAAGCAAAAGGGCTTTGCAGACCTTCAATATGATACTGCATACGGTACCCATTCTGTAGCTGCTCGCCACAGCCTGCTGTGAACTTCCAGTGGTTGTTGGACCAGCATTGCATACTCCCCATCCGTTGTTCTTTCTATGTTGACTGGTCACACTGACCATCCTCTCAGTCTCTGTCGCTATATCTCGCCTATTATATGTGTTGCTAGGTACATCAAATCTAGTAGATCCCGGGTAATTCGCACAACTTCCATTTCCTCAACAGTTACAGTGCCTTGCAAAAGTATTCATCCCCCTTGGCGTTTTCCCTATTTTGTTGCATTACAACCTGTAATGTAAATGGATTTCTATTTGAATTTCATGTAATGGACATACACAAAATAGTTTAAATTCAAAAAAATAAATAACGGAAAAGTGGTGCGTGCATACTGCGGGGGAAAAAAGAATTTGATCCCCTGCTGATTTTGTACGTTTGCCCATTGACAAAGAAATTATCAGTCTATAATTTTAATGGTAGTTTTATTTGAACAGTGAGAGACAGAATAACAAAACAAAAATTCAGAAAAAAGCATGTCAAAAATGTTATAAATTGATTTGCATTTTAATGAGGGAAATAAGTATTTGACCCCCTCGCAATCAGAAAGATTTCTGGCTCCCAGGTGTCTTTCATACAGGTAACGAGCTGAGATTAGGAGCACACTCTTAAAGGGAGTGCTCCTAATCTCAGTTTGTTACCTGTATAAAAGACACCTGTCCACAGAAGCAATCAATCAATCAGATTCCAAACTCTCCACCATGGCCAAGACCAAAGAGCTCTCCACCAAGGATGTCAGGGACAAGATTGTAGACCTACACAAGGCTGGAATGGGCTACAATACCATCACCAATCAGCTTGGTGAGAAGGTGACAACAGTTGGTGCGATTATTCGCAAATGAAAGAAACACAAAATAACTGTCAATCTCCCTCGGCCTGGGGCTCCATGCAAGATCTCACCTCGTGGAGTTGCAATGATCATGAGAACGGTGAGGAATCAGCCCAGAACTACACGGGAGGATCTTGTCAATGATCTCAAGGCAGCTGGGACCATAGTCACCAAGAAAACAATTGGTAACACACTATGCCGTGAAGGACTGAAATCCTGCAGCGCCCGCAAGGTCCCCCTGCTCAAGAAAGCACATATACAAGCCCGTCTGAAGTTTGCCAATGAACATCTGAATGATTCAGAGGAGAACTGGGTGAAAGTGTTATGGTCAGATGAGACCAAAATCGAGCTCTTTGGCATCAACTCAACTCACCGTGTTTGGAGGAGGAGGAATGCTGCCTATGAGCCCAAGAACACCATCCCCACCGTCAAACAAGGAGGTGGAAACATTATGCTTTGGGGGTGTTTTTTTGCTAAGGGGACAGGACAACTTCACCGCATCAAAGGGACGATGGACGGGGCCATGTACCGTCAAATCTTGGGTGAGAACCTCCTTCCTTCAGCCAGGGCATTGAAAATGGGTCGTGGATGGTTATTCCAGCATGACAATGACCCAAAACACACGGCCAAGGCAACAAAAGAGTGGCTCAAGAAGAAGCACATTAAGGTCCTGGAGTGGCCTAGCCAGTCTCCAGACCTTAATCCAGACCTAGCCGCTAGCCAAACCGAAGTATGCTGACGCCTTAAGGAAGTAATTTTGCCATTCCATTTCCTAGGTTTTTGCTGAAATGACACGACTGGCTATACACCACCAAGATTTTGATAAAAATCTAATCAAAATGTATTCATCACATGCTTCGTAAACAACACTAACAGTGAAATGCTTACGGCCCCTTCAAAACAGTGCAGAGAGAAAGAAAATAGAGAAATAATAGCAACGTAAAACACAAAAATAGAAGTAATAATAGATACACAATAAGTAACGATAAATTGGCTATATACAAGGGGTACCAGTACCGAGTCGATGTGCAGGGGTACGAGGTAACTGAGGTAGATACAGTGGGGAGAACAAGTATTTGATACACTGCAGATTTTGCAGGTTTTCCTACTTACAAAGCATGTAGAGGTCTGCAATTTTTATCATAGGTACACTTCAACTGTGAGAGACGGAATCTAAAACAAAAATCCAGAAAATCACATTGTATGATTTTTAAGTAATTAATTTGCATTTTATTGCATGACATAAGTATTTGATACATCAGAAAAGCAGAACTTAATATTTGGTACAGAAACCTTTGTTTGCAATTACAGAGATCATACGTTTCCTGTAGGTCTTGACCAGGTTTGCACACACTGCAGCAGGGATTTTGGCCCACTCCTCCATACAGACCTTCTCCAGATCCTTCAGGTTTCGGGGCTGTCGCTGGGCAATACGGACTTTCAGCTCCCTCCAAAGATTTTCTATTGGGTTCAGGTCTGGAGACTGGCTAGGCCACTCCAGGACCTTGAGATGCTTCTTACGGAGCCACTCCTTAGTTGCCCTGGCTGTGTGTTTCGGGTCGTTGTCATGCTGGAAGACCCAGCCACGACCCATCTTCAATGCTCTTACTGAGGGAAGGAGGTTGTTGGCCAAGATCTCGCGATACATGGCCCCATCCATCCTCCCCTCAATACGGTGCAGTCGTCCTGTCCCCTTTGCAGAAAAGCATCCCCAAAGAATGATGTTTCCACCTCCATGTTTCACGGTTGGGATGGTGTTCTTGGGGTTGTACTCATCCTTCTTCTTCCTCCAAACACGGCGAGTGGAGTTTAGACCAAAAAGCTCTATTTTTTGTCTCATCAGACCACATGACCTTCTCCCATTCCTCCTCTGGATCATCCAGATGGTCATTGGCAAACTTCAGATGGGCCTGGACATGCGCTGGCTTGAGCAGGGGGACCTTGCGTGCGCTGCAGGATTTTTTAATCCATG